CTTCTGAAGTTCTTCAACTGTCCCCATTAATTGTTTTATTTCCTCAGAACACTGTCTTTCTTTTTGTTTGGAATTAGTCAGCTCTAATTTTACATTGTTTATCTCTTGGTTCTTTTGTACAACCTGTTCTTGTAATTCTTCCAGTAATTTATCAGCAGCTGTGACTTTATCCTTTAGCTCAAGAGTCTTTTTTTCTTCTTCTATTATTTTTGCATTTAATTCTTCAATGATTGCCTCCTTTTCCTGTACTTCTTTATTTGAGCTTTCTACTTTTTTATCTTGTTCCACTTCATATGCTCAAATTTTTTCTTGCAAGAAACTAATTTGCACTTTGAAGTCTTCTTTCTTTTTTTGATAATCTTCCAATAGATGGTCTTGTTCTTCCAGCTGTTGCTGATGGGTGAGGATCTGTTGTTTGGCCTGTAGTAAATCTGCAGCTGTGCTACTGTGAGTGCTGTTTCTCAGAGTTTCACTAGCCTGTAAATGCTGGAATTGAATCTGTAATTTTTGACTTTGTTCTGTCAACTCTAAAAATTCTCTCATTGTTTCATCCTTTTCTCTTCTTGCTTGTTGTAAATTAGCAGTGAGCTGGGTTATAATGCCATCTCTTTGTTTAATGGCAGCTTCAAATTCTTGTAACTGCTGCAGCCCTTCAGTCCCATAGGTGGCTCTCATTTCTTCTAGTTTTCTGTTGAGCTCTTCTATCTCATGCTGTTTGCCAGCCAATTTGTTTTCCATTATTTCTAGATGGGTCTGATTGTACTGTGCTCCATGTTCAGAATAAGAATCATTGACACCAAATTCTTCCTCCCTTAATAAATTTGTAGGTTTTCCTGTTCCCACCACAAAACTGCAACCATTTACCTCTGAACTATAATCATCTGCTGTGGTTGAAATTTCACTTTCTGGTTCAATAGAAAAGACTTGATCATGTTTGCTTATTTCTCCACTATGCAGAGTTCTCATTGTAGTGGATTCAGGAGTCATAGTTGATCCTACTCTCTGGGAACTATTTATGCATGTCTCATCACTCTGTGATTGCTCAATATTTAAAGCATGGTATGCTGATGCATCATGTTTACTGCTTGAAGTTTTCCTCTTTTTTTTCTGCTTCTTAGAAGGATTCTGACCATCAGATTGAGCTTTCCTTTGTCGAAACTCGGCAAGCTTTGGTCTGGCTCTGGATTTGAGATTATAGATATTTTCCTTTATGCTGACTTGAAATTTCCTTCTTTATTAAGTAAATTTTCTAAATGTTATATGAAGTAACTACTAACCACCAATTTCTAAATTTGAGTTCTGTGATCATTCTTCACTTTGCCGGCCTCCAGTTTCTTCCGTCTCTCCTCGTCCTCCATGGCCTCTGCGAGGAAGGCTGGGGGAAGGCCCCTCTCTCTCTTTTTAAAGACAGTTTATATTTGGGTTCTTGTTAATTGTGACTAAAGTGTGCTGATGAAAACACAGGACAAAAAAATAAGAGGTTGCTTGTGCATGGCAATAAAGTAAAAGAATGGTCTTATTTTCTAACTGGCCAAGTGTATTATGGATTGCTCAATATTAATTAATTTTTTCAATTTATGAGGAAGTTTTAGGTTTCATTATGGCAGTAAGCACCTCATTGTCATGTATCAAATTCTGTATTAGTTACCTATAGCTTTGTAACAAATGACCCCTCAAACTTAGTGGCTTAAACAATAATAAGTCTTTATTTTCTCTCACATATAGGAATCAGAAGTTTTGGAACCGGTAGTTGACGTGGGTCTGCCTCAGCACTTTTCATGAGATTTCAAGATACTGGCTGCAGTTGCAGTGTTTGAAAGTTAGGGCCCAGTAGATCTGCTTTCGCGGTAGCTCACTCACACAGTAAATTGGTCCTGGTGTCCGCAGAACTCAATTTTTTCCATGGGGGCTACTACACATGACTTTTTAAAGTTTGGCATTTGACTCCTCCCAAAGAGGAAGGTGGAAGGTGTTTTTTGTTTTTTTTTTTTACCTAGTTTCAAGTCACACACCAGTACTTCAACAGATCCTTTCACTCACACATATCAGTCCATTTCTGTGTTGGAGGTACCACCCAAGTGCATGGGTACTTGGAGGCAGGGATCACTGAGGACCAACACAGGGACTTGTTACCACAGAACATGTGATAGGAGAGAAGGTAGTTAAGAGGCACTTGAGCTGTTGTGAGAAATGAAAGGTCTTGTTACCCCAGCCCAAACAGGAGAAGGATCACCTGTTTTTCACTTTCAGTATTTTGATTGATGAATAATTGTGGTAAAAGATTTGATGTATTAATTTAATTTATATAAAATTGTCTGGCATTTATGGTATTCTTTCACCCAATGTAGTATTTCAACTCCCATTTATAATTTATTTTATTCTTCTTTCAACTCTTCTACTTTATTTCTTTTTGACTCAAAAACACTAATGTCTAGGTGCATAGGTCTGATCTCATACTGAATCAAAAGGAAGAAAGCTAAGGTGTCTCTCTACAAGTTCATTACAATGACATCCTTGAAGCCTTATTTCCTTCTACAATTCTGTGCTGGTTTAAGAGACATAAAAAGTTTAAAAAAATAAAGATATTAGTTGTTAAATTCACAGTAGTTTCAACCTTTTGCTATAATGCTGTTAAAGTAGAATTATATTAATAAGTGATAAAATATGGAACAGAAAGTGAAAGCAATAGTTGAGATTAAGGGAGTAGAAAATGTTGGTTAAAAGTACTTTTTAAGAAGATGAAAATGTTGGGACCTTTTGCCTCTTTTAGGCCTGTGACGGCCTCAGACTGGAGGTTTCCACCCTCCCTTGTTACTTCCGCATTCGTGGCCTAACTAGCTTCCCACGCGCGCGCTCTCTTGGCCCTAACTCCGCCTCCCCACCTAACCCGAAACCTCCCTAAAGACCCTAGTGACAGATGAGATAATCAATTCCCATTGGTTTCTGTTACTTCCTTATCTTCCCCTATATAACTAAGCCTCTGATGGAATAAAGCTGAGTTCTGCTGTGCCCTTGAGGCTGACACATCTCCTGGCTTTGTGTGGTTTTGTTTTTCCCCAGATCTCAGGGGAAGGTGTCCAAGCCACCGACACTTGCCCTCTCACTCAGCCCCGGGGATAACAGGCTGGTCCTGCTTGTCCCCCCGCCTTCTTGTTGCTGAAGAGCAACAGAAAAGAAATGAAAGAAGAAAAGCTTTAGTATGTAGACTAAGTTACGAACTTAGATATGTGCAGTGGACAGGCAGGTATCATAAATGAGTATCAAGGCTAAGTGGACATTGCAAAACTTGGGAGAAGCTGCCACATTTAAAAGGGGCAGTAGATATGTAGCCTGTGCCAATTTTTGAAATAACTGCTCTCTTAAAAAAAAAAACACTAAAAAATATGAGCTGTAAGGAAGTTTCTCTTTATATAACAACCTAATTTTTCTATAATTAATATACTGTAAAATTATCCTTTTAAAGTGTAAAATTCATCATTTTTCATTATTTTCAGTTGCGTATCTATCACTACTGTCCAGTTTTAGAACATTTTCATGACTCCAAAAAGAAACCCTGCATCCATTTAGCAATCAATTCCCATTTATCCCTCTGCCCAGTTCATGCCAATGGCAATCACTAATCTACTTTCTGTCTCTATGGATTTGTCTATTATGGACATTTTAGATAAATGGAATTATACGATATGTGATAGTTGCTGGCTCCTTGTATTGTATAAGTAAACCAAAGATGGCCTCTAAAGGAGCCTGAAGTTTGCATCTTCGTAGCAGGTGGACACCCCATTAGCTTAAAATCTCACTGGCATTAGATTCAAGTTACTACATATCTAGTTGTGTTAAACAGAAGCTAAATGAGAAGACTTTCAACCTTTAGAGCCTGTCTGCTATGCACAACCAGTGAAACTGCACCCAACATCAGCTAGCCATTGGTAGGGTAAACCCAGGGCTATAATGACCCCAAGTTACTGCTGCCCTTCAAGGAATTCTGATCCAGAATCTCCCCAAGGTGCTCCTGAATATAAATTCCCTTAGATGCATAAATTCCCCTGTGATTCTATTCCCTTCCTCTGTAAGTTCCCTTGTTCTCTTCTTTTGAGTTATGATCCCTATATACTAATCATTTTTATACAAATGATTAGTTTTATAAATTAGTTTATATGAATGATTCATTTTATATGAAACTTCTGGGAAGGTTCTTACTCTGAAAGACTCCTGTCCCCGCTCCCTCCCCAAAGTCAAACCTGTCAATAAATCTCATTATGTGCTACTAACACCTCACAGTCATATGTTTTTATCCTTGCACATCCCTGAAATCCTTCAAAGTCACTACAACTTGATACAATGTTTTCAAGATTCATCCACACAATGGTCTGTATCAGTACTTTATCATTTTTATTGTTAAGTGATATATCATTGTATGAATATACCACATTTTGTTTATCTACCCATCAGTTAAAGGACATTTGGATTGCTTCCACTTGGGACTATTATGAATAATGCTGCTATGTATATCCTTGTAGAAGTTTTTGTATGGACATATGTTTTAATTTCTCTTGGATATATATCTAGGAATAGAATTTCTGGATCACATGTAAGTTTATGTTTAACATTTTAAGGAACTACCAAACCATTTTCCAAATTTCTTATAGACATAGTGATAATAGTATTTTTGTTTGTTTGTTTCTTTTTATGGGGAGTAAGGACTATTATCAGTTTGTTGAGTGATTTTGTCACAAAAATATTTTGAGTTTTGCCAAATTATGTTTCTGCATCTACTGAGATAATTATAACATTTTGTCCTTTATTCTATGATTATGGTGGTTTATATTATATTTGTTGAGTTTTCCAATGTTAAACCAACCTTGGATTTCAGAAATAGACTCACTTTGTCCTTTTATGTAACCCTTTATTTATTTATTTTATATATATAATATTTATTTATTTTAATTATATTTATAAAAATTATAAATTACAAATATATATATATTGCTTGATTTGGTTTCCTGGTATATATTCTTAAGGAACATTTATCTGTAGTTTTCTTTGCTTGCAATGCCTTTGTCTAGTCTTGGTGTCAGAGTTGTCCTGGCCTCATAGAATGAGTTAGGATGTGCTCCTTCCTCTTCCATTTTTTGGAAGAGTTTAAAAATGATTAGCATTATAATTCATTAAATATTTGATAGGATTTACCAGTGAAGCCAGGGGCATAATTTTGTATAGATTTTAATTGCTAATACAATCATCTTACTTACTATAAGTAAGTAAGACTCAAAATTTTTGAGTCAATTTTTGAACTTCGTGTCTTTCAAGAAATTTGTCTAGTTTGAATTGATATCAATTAAATTGAAAAAATATACCAAAAATGTGATCCATTTTTGTTCCATTTCATGCACCATTTTTGTGTTACTTTTGTCATATAAAGGGTGTCTTTATTCATTATAAGCACATCTACACAGATATATAATTATTGTTTAATATAATTGTCATTTAAAACATGTGGTTGAAAAAAAGTATTTCAAACAAACATACATTTATACCATGCTTTATATTTACCTATGTAATCATTTTTATTGGTGGTCTTTATTATTTGTATGGATTTAGTGCTCCATAATTCTCTTTCATCTCTGCCTAAAGTATTCCTTGTAAAATTTCTTGTTGAGCAGTATTACTTGCAACAGATAATCTAGAACTTCTTAATTTATCTTTATTATTGGAGAATAGCTTTGATGAATGTAAGATTCTTGGTTGCCATTATTTTTCCTTAGCACTTTGAATATGTTGTTACACTTCCTTCTGGCCTCCATGATTACTGGTGCAAAATCAGTGGTTAATATTAGTGAGGACTGTTATACATGATAGGTAGCTTTACTTATGCTGCTTCGAAGATTGTTATTCTTTTTCTCTCAGTACTTTGACTATGATTTGTCTAGGTGTGGACCTGTGAGTTTATCCTAGTTGGAGTTCATATTGCTTCTTGGATGTTTTTCATCACACTTGGGAAATTTTTAAGTATTCTTTTTATTCAGTTATTATTTAGTTTTTAGTTATTCTTTCCACTTTATTTTTTCTCTTTTTCTGAGAATCTTATATGCATATATTTGTTCTAGGTGGTTCAACACATTATCTGCAAGGATTTTCAATTTTCTAAGTTTTTTTTCTGTTTCTCAGAATGGATAATTTCAGTTGTCTTGTATTTAGATTTGCTGATTCTTCTGTCAGCTCAAAGGTGTTGCTCTACCTAATTTTTCATGTCAGTTATTGTTATTTTCACCTTCTGATTTCCTCTTTGGTTCTTCTTTATAATTTCGATTTCATAACTGATAGTATCTACTTGGTAAGACATTGTTCCTCTATTTTCCTT